CCTGCCCCACGGTCATTGCGTATTGATAGTTGGGTTGCTGCGTTAGTGAAGAGGCGTACAGAACTGCTTCACACTTCTGTAAACTTCAACTTAGGGGCAGAGGACGTTAGAAACACCAAGTATTTTATTTTACTTAGGTTGGGTTCTGTGCGTAGGTAGTCTATCCACCAACTCTACTCTTACTACCTTGGTCTAAAGCTACCATCCTCTCCCCCACCAGCCATTGTAATGTTTGCTGTGTCATTGCTGATTGTCGGCTATGGGCTTGTGACTCATCCACCAGTGGGCAGGTAGGGGCAGTAGGGGATCCTTATTAAACTATAGATTCCTGGGGCTCCTGCTAGATCTACTGAATTGAAATATCTGGAGTCTGATCCAAGGAATCTGCCTTTACCTCCTTTCCAGGTGATTTTTTTTTTTTTTAAGATTTTATTATTTATTTGACAGAGAGAGAGACACAGCAAGAGAGGGAACACAAGCAGGGGCAGAGGGAGAGGGAGAAGCAGGCTTCCTGTCGAGCAGGGAGCCCGATGCAGGGCTCGATCCCAGGACTCTGGGATCATGACCTGAAGGGAAGGCAGACGCTTAACGACTGAGCCACCCAGGCGCCCCTCCAGGTGATTCTAATGAGCCCAAATATTTACAAAAACACAGTAGCAGTGTACTTTTTTGATTCATTTAAAAAACCCACATGAAAAAGGATTGTTTTCCTCTCTACTTGTATCACTTGGTTAAGAAACTCAGATGAAATATTAATCTCGGGAGAACACCAGGGCTGACTGCCTCCCCAGATGCCTGCATGTGGGTAACAGAAACATTTACAGCACCATTTGGAATATAATATTCTCATAAATGTCAGCCCGTGGTAAGACAACAATAACGGATCTTTATACATCTTATGTATGTCAATTACCTTATCATTCAAAAAAACCAATCAGACTAAAACTGGAAGTTTCAACCCCCAAATTAACTTAAAGCATCCCGGGCAACTTCTTAATTTTACTGATGAGAAGGTTGAGAGGAAGACTCTGGGGCATGACGACACAGGTATTGGCAGGATCTGGGACCCAGGTGTTCCAAGTAAGCCCAGGGCTCTACCCACCATCAATCTCTTTTCCTTCCTCCCGCTCCCCTTTTTCTTTGCTCATATCAGAAACACATTCCAACTTCAACTCTTCATTCTCTTTGCCCAAATGATGAATACTCTTTTCCCTTCATGCTAACTTTTTCTTCAGTGTTCAGAATTTACATTCAAACTGTGTCTCTCTATGGAGGATTTTCTTAGTCTTTCAAAGTCACAGGTTGTTTGAAAAAAAAAAAGATGTTCCCCACAGCACTATAGACAGTTTATAGTGGGTCAAAACACAATTTTTTTCCCAAGCATCATATTGAACTAATTCTTTAACGTAAGTATTTCCTTGTCAGTTTCTGTTCGACGACCTTGCATCCTGTGCTCTACTTTTGACCAAATTATTGATACCTGACATTAAATCTCTTGAGATACATTTCAAGGAACATATTAGAATCATTATGACCACACAAGAAACGACTGTTGTCATATCAAAGGAAAGATCCCATGGGGAACATGTGCCTTCAGCCTCAGAACTGTGGTTATTTACATTTCAGACAAGATATCTTTTTTGTCCCCCCCCACCCCCACCCCAGGTGAAATTGTCTGACAAATTGAATATCTTTATTTGGACGGCAGGGGCTTATGAGATTTACTTCCAATGCAAATAGAGAAATATGCACCTTGAGTCGAAACACTCATGTGTTTTTCATTCAACAGAATTCATTTTGAATGATCTGAGTGTTTTATTGCCTACCTTCTAAACCTACGGATCCTCAAAAAAATTGGTCCCGTATTCGGCGCTAGCTTATACCATGCAAACATTAAGTTGATCTTTTTAAAGTGGGCATTAGCTTAAAACAGATTCCTTCATTTTCAGAACTTAAATCTGTATTACTTTTTTTTTTTAACCTGAGGTTGACTGAAGTTTTCCTTTTAAAGCACCTTACTTCAAAACTTCTTAGTTGAGTTATTTATGTTTGGCATGGCTTTTTAAATTTAAATTTCAGGTGTTACATGTAAGAAATTTTCAGAATCTTAAACAGTGTATAACAGTGTATAACATCAAACTTTTCCCAGATGTAATTTTCTATGATTTTTTTTTAAATTTGAGAATCTCCAAAGGAAAGGGATTATGTTTCAGATTATACTTCTTAATAACTGAAATGAAATTTGTTCCCTAGGTAATAATTCCTTAAAGGTTTTCACTACATCATCATGTGTTTATAACTTCTTGTTAGAATAGGTGCCAGACCATATGATGAAAAATGTCTGGCACATGGAAATATAGTGAAGTATAGTGAAACAGTAAGCTAATGAGTCAGACTAATAATGCTCAAATCCTGCCTTCTCTATTTACTAACTGGCAGACTGCACAGATTTTTAATCTCTCTGTGTATCAGTATGATTTTTTTAAGATTTATTTTTTAAATTTTATTTATTTGAGAGAGAAAGAATGAGAGAGAGAGAGAGAGAGAGCATGACCGTGGTGAGGGGCAGAAGGAGAAGGAGACTCCCTGCTTAGCAGAGAGTCTGATGCAGGGCTCGATCCCAAGACTCTATCCTGGGACTTGATCCCAGGACTCTGGGATCATGACCTGAGCAGAAAGTAGATGCCCAACCAACTAAGTCACCCAGATGCCCCAGTATGATTGTTTTAATAGTATTTGCTTAACAGAATTAGATGAGGTAAGACTGTACAGTGCTTAGAACAGTGTTGGGCAGAATGTACTATATAAATACTTTTATATTTATTTTATTATTATTATTATTACATAAGTAGACCTATTATTATTATATAGTATAGTAAATGTTATATCCTGTTATGCTATATTATTATTCTAGTAAACACTCACTAATTATGAAATAAATGATTGATTATAAAAATATATTCTTTTTACTGAAATATTTGAAGTTCACATTTCATTACATTGAAATAAACAAAGCACTTCAACTATGGAGTATTAGTAAAGATTGGAAATTGCATTTGGTTTGTATCTAAATCCTCTTCCTGTGAGATGGCTGAGGACTGTAAGGGCCTGGCATAGGCAGTGGGACCTCTCAGGGTAGGGGATGGGCAGACAGAGTGCCTTTTACCAGACCCTGGATTCAAAGCAGAATCAAGATGGGAAGAGAAGAAAGCCCACATCTATAATTCAGGAATCAAGCCACCAGAAGGGAGGCCCAGATGTCGAAGACCTGGAGAACCCGGAGAGGTGAGAGAAGAGAATGGACGGGTCAGTAACAAGCCTGAAGCTGTTACTGAGACAAACCCGGGGGCAAGTGGGGTCACCCCCAGCTAGCCTAATGAGACCTGATACCTGGGCGGAGGCTGCATAGAGCATTAGTGCCTTCCTCACTTCTATTCCTGTCACTCCGTTTTGACTGCACCAAACAAAACCTGTACTTGTATTTTCAGCAAAGACACATGCTCAAGATGATTTCCCTACCTTAAAAAAAAAGGTATACATGTGCTACCTCATCACAAAAAATAGAAAGCACCTCCCTCAGTAGCAAAAAGATAAAATAAACATTCACATGTCCCCTGCCATGAACACATGTATCAGAGCACAACAAACAATGTGATAAACAATGTGTCCTTAACAGGACCTGAGAACTATAGGCTATGACAGATGCTGCAGCTAATAATTTTTAAGCATCTCAAAGATTACCTGAGGGAAAAGAAAGAAACGAAAATAACAGAACAAATGTCAAATCAATAAAATTGACTTGTATCTGAATGAAGGCATCTCCAGAAAGTGATCTTTATCTGAATCATATTTTTCCTAAAAGCGGAGGGGGGTGGGGGGACAGGGAATTCTAGCTGGATCTTGCTCTTGGTATGTTGAATATTCATCTTGTGCAACAGGATGCAATTTGTATAATGTGGGGCCCAGGTCTGTGTGCAGGAACACCCTTCAGGGAACTCAGATGAAGCTTCCAGAATAACAAGAACATTTTCCAGCTCACCGCAGAGGGAATCTGCCACTCGAACTTCATTTTCTTTGATAAGATTTCCCAGATTTGCTCAAGAAAATGCCCCAGGGAATGTTTCTGCTTAAGTTGTGTGTGTGTGTGTGTGTGTGTGTGTAATGTCTGTATATATGTTTACATGTAGTTTTTTGATGATAATATTTCCCAACAACAGAGTTTTAAAGAATTTATATGAAGATGACATGCAAACCCAGATAAGAGCATTTTTCTTTGAGGCACCATGAATTTAACTTGTCAATTTCTGCTTCAAGGATAGTGAAAAGAAATACTTTCATCTAGGTCTCTGTTGCTTGCTTCTGCGGCAGAAATTAATTCTAATTACACTATAACGTATGGATACGGCACATCTGAATATGAATTATTTGTAAATAGTAAATATTCCAGAGGTCATATGGATAAAAATGTGCTCAACTTCTCATATACATTAACACAAAACAGAAAGACTTACTTAGATTTAAATTCTGCAATATACATTTTATAATAGAAGTGTTTTCCCCAGTAAAACATTAACACAACCTGAATTCCTAGTTTTAAAAGAACTACTATCTTTAATTCTTTTTTAGAATTCACATTAATTCTGTTTCTTTTTACAAAATAATCTTTTACAAGAAACTCTTTAAGACAAGTACATTTCTAAAGAGAAATAAAAAAGATTAACATCAACTCTTTCAAAATTACTCCATTTTCTACAAATTAGTTCATTTTTTAAAAAATATGCAAATATACAACTTTAAGAGGTAATATTACTCTTCCGCTTGATATACTGTTATTATCAAACATTGATGAATAATGAATCAACAGCCCTTACAGCGTTGTAGTAGAGATCAAATATTAAAGCAAAAATGGCAGAATCAATAGACACAGATCCTTTTCATTTTGTTGTTGCTGCTACTGCAAGCATTGAATGAATGGCCAATATCTTTGGCATGTTACTTACTGATGGGTAGAGGTAACCTTCTCCATTCATGGCTATATACAACCCTGTCTTCACTCCCTGGATGGCAACAACGCGCAGTCCCACTGGTATGAGGTTGAACAGTGCTGTAAAGATAAACATAGCCTGTCACAAATGGGCCGGGAGGAGCAAAGCCTTGCCATCGCTTTTCCCTCCCTCATTCTTTTATTTAAAAAAAAAAAAAAAACAACATCATCTTTGTTACAACCTTCTGAGAAGTTCCAATTAATTAACTTTTATTTCTCTTTATAATTAAGATGTTTCTGCAATGGGTAAAATTAGCACTTGAACTTCAATTTGTACACCTTAATGGTCTGCCTATAGCATTCCAACGAACTGATAGAATAATAAACAGAATCAGCCTATAATCCCAATTCCAGGATCACAGTCTTTGACATCATTTGATACCAAAGGAGATCAGATGTGAAGATTCCCAAAGAGTGGAATTTAAAAAGTCCAAATTGAATGCTTATTCTGGCCTTTCATGCGGAAGGTGTGCTTTATCACTGCAATGTAGGACAGGCCAGAAGTTAAAAAGGTAATTCCAAAATGGAATTACTCTTGCTGAACCAATGTGAGATGCCAGCAGAGCCCAGAAAAAGACGTGCGCCTGCCAATGTGCTCAATTTAGAAAGAACTAATCATACTGAACATTTTAGAGAGACATTTCTTCACTAATATCTCATAGAGCTGTGAGTGATAACTAAAATAAAAGAAGGAAAAGTGTTCAATTTTACCCATCTAAGAGATAAAAACTCACTTATAGTTCCATGTTTCGTTTCTTCCCTTATCGACAAGGAAAATATTTTTATATATTTTTTACATAGTACAGAGAGCAATGTTATCATTGATTTCTTAAAAAGTCTTAACATTCCTTTAACACTTTTCCATGCCAGGGTTATATGTTAACTCTTCAGTTGGTATTCTAGCATCATTCTTAGTAATAACTGCTTGATGGTTTGGGGGACTTTATTGTAGATATGTTTATAAGGAAGTTAATTATCCACAGTGCTCTATCTGCTCCCATTCAAGGTCTTAATTGAAGACTAATTCCAAGCAACTGTACCAGGCCAAAACAGACAACGACAGCATTGAGATGCTGAAGCGAACAAGTAAACAAAACACCTGAGGTTTAGGTTCTCACCTGCATTCCACAAAAGACAAATAATTGGGAAAATGTGGGCCATGTTGACTTCAATCTATGGGTCTACTCAGCACATAATTAAAAATGGACTTTATAAATTCACTTCTATTTAATTCTGAGGCACCACATGCATTGTCAGAATAGGTTGGGGGAAAATTATACCTTCTCTTTCAGTTATTACATGTTACTGATCCCAAGATCTCAAGATGTCTGTGATGAAAGGAACATGGCGGGCCATGGCTGTAGATAATTATCCCTATAGGAATACTCAGAGGAGTGTACATGGTTCAGTGGCTATTAGCTTTCACAAAGCAAACTAATATTGGGCCATCTTCCATGGGATTCTAGGGGCTTATGTTATGGAAGAATGAGGCTTATGCTTGCTCACTTCTAACACTTAAATAATAAACATGAGTGGGAATCATTGAGCAGTATGAGGTACTTATGTCATTGTAACTCAGTATTCCTTCTTCTTGGGAGAGGGCCACTGGCCAATTCCACTTTTGGCCGGAACACCTGAACTGTCCCAACTCCCTTCTATTTTGAAAGTATGGGCACCGTAGAACAATTTCTGATTGATATGCAAAAGTTTTAGAGGAAAAACATAATTGTATGACTCTCCTTGAAAACTATTCTAACTTAACCCATTCAAACTTAATTATTCTAATCTTTATATACTCTTAATGGTATTTATAGGTGCCATATATCTGATATAGCCCAGATGTTATAATTCTAGAAAGTAAGAACATATGAAGTCACCAGAACAATGTGGTATAGGAAAGAGAAAAATTATAGATGATAGTCTAAAATGACCATACAAAAAATAGGTTTTTTTTTCCTAGGATTTTGTTGGGACCTGAATTATAAAATGTCAGTTATTATCATTTACAGAATGATAATACAAAGTGAATTCATATAACCACTGTCATGTGGAAGCCCATTCAGAGCTGACCATAATGAATCCATGGTGCTAATTAAAACTACAGATACCCACATTGATTGAGACATCATTGTATTTTTCCATTCCTTTTGTATTTTATATAGTTATAAAGCAGTGTCACAAAGCCTAGGGGAGTCAGAATAATAAGATGCTCATGCTACTTTGTTTGTTCTGTGGGACTCTAGTTTTCCATATAATAGTGATTTTCAACCCTGGCTATACTTAAAAACTAGTTGTATTCATAAAAGAGGACAGCCATGCCCAATTGCAGACTAATTAAAAGTAAGAATCTCTGGAAGTGAGGTTAGGGTTTAGGGCATAAGGAATTTTTTTAAAGCTCCTCAAATGACGCTAAAGTACAGCCAAAGTGAAAACCACCATCCCAAGGCCTGTGGGGTGGTGGTCACAGTGAGCGATGGGCAATTTTTACACATCAAATTATCAGGTCAGAATTTCTAAGATGAGAGGGCTTGGTTCATGTGAGTTTCTAATATTGCTATAGTTACTGGCATATTGATATTTCTATAGTCCTATTCCACTTGTAGCATTTATTAAGTCTGGTAATGGGAGCAATTAAGTTTAAGAGCACAGGAAAACCTCATGGCATCCCCAAAAGCAAGTGGAGGAAAAGAAAATCACCCCTTAATCAAATGCCACAGTTCATGTTAATGCTAACGTTTAGTAGATAGATAGGAAGCTCTAAGAGTTTTAAACGAATATACCCCTGAAAATGAGTCTGGTGATGTAGTAATCTGGGTGCTCATTTCTTCCTGGGAAAGATCTTTGCAGGGCACATGGAAGCCAATAAAAAGCAGTCAAGTTGCTACAGTATCTTCTCTGTTTGGACCAATCATCCATCATCAACCATCATCTTGCTATTTTTCCTCCCAGAGATTTCTAGATCTCTGGATCTAGAGGACTTTAGTGTCGGGCTCACCTGCCTGCTGGCCTTTCTCTCTCTTCTCCACTCATCTGAAAATTTTTGACAAAGGCAGCTTAGTAGGGTGGTTCTGACTTTACCTAGTTCTATATAAGCTCATGTTTAGTTGTATGGTATGTGTCCAACTCAAATCACGAAGATTTGAAGGTTCAAGCCTCAGTTTTGTTATTTGGTAACTTTTAGGGTGGCATCATGGTGACTTTTAGGGTATTTCTCCTTATTTTTCCTACTTACAGATGACTAATCCTTGTTTTGTATTCAAAGAATTATCAAAAATCTGGAATGCATGCATGAATTACTACATCACACCCTAATGCAAACCAAAAGGGCAGTGCTCCCATTAAGACCTTCCCGCCAACATCTCTAGAGCTCCTCCCCTTTTTATAGAATACTGTTCATGGCTTATGATTTTCTCAAGACTCATAAGACTGCTGTAATGAACCAGAGAAAAGGAAATCATCTTAAATTTCACCTAAAAAAAAACTGGTTTTCAATTGCAAAGATGATGGTACCCAAAAGTCGAGTTATTTAGTAATTCTCATGACTTTTATAAACCTGCTGTAGTCCTGCCAAGTTTTATTAAATTTTAGGTTCATACAACTTTTATAGCCTTTTGAGGAATCTTTACCTCACCCTGTTTTGCTCTCTTCTGCTGTGTCTTTGCAAATGTTGAAATGGTAACAAAACTAACCTAACTAGCTAAACGTGCACATAAAATGCAACACAACTTGTAAGAAAAGCAGCTGAGGCACATAGTGCCCCTTGAGTTCAGGAGCTATGACTTGGTTCTGGTTTGCTTGGACACAGGAGCTCCTGTTCCCTCTTCTTTCCTCACCAGCATTTAGGGGGATTAGAGAGAATTCCAAGTGTTGCCCCAAGATTCTTGTTCCTTCTAATACGGTTACATAGCAGGAGAAAAGAAACCTCACACATTTAGAGAACAGAAGGTTTGTGTCTCTTTCAGCATCTCAGCTTTCCAGTGTAGTGTTGAATATGGTTCAGATAACCAGATATAATTACGTGTGTATGCATATAATGTCTACATCTGCACTTTCACAGTTTAGAAAATATTGTGCTGCTTATTGAGTTCTGAAGCAATATGCTGTAAAAGACAGTGTCTACCTAACACTTCTTAATTCAGTATTGATTTCCATCATTAAAAACAACCAACTTGTTTGCATTACAAAAACCAAAGAAGGAGGTAGGAAAAAGTGCATGAAACCTTTGAAAGAAATTATTTTTCTAAGAAGTCCAACTAAGCAGCATTTTCATATAGCTATGTTTTATTTCCTTTCTTGAAAACTTTGTCAAAGGGATGGTCTCAACCTCTAAGTCAGAATGTCCTAATTCTTGCAGTGATCAGTTATGGAAAGCTAGTCCTCACGCTCCCCCGGACTTTGGCTGAAGGAAATCAGAGAACATTGAAGACATCAGAACTTTTGAATCTTGAGAGTCCTTGACCCCCACAAGTATAAGATATAAGAAAAAGAGAATGCCTTTTGTCAAAGAAGGGGTAAGGAGTTAAAGATAGAAGAAAATGAGCAGACATACATGTATTAGCTTGAACCAGAAGAAACTGACATTTTTACAGATCAAAGATGGTCAAGTCCTTATGCTTTTAAAAAGTTCAACCTAATAGCAAAATCCCAACAAGTAAACAATGGTTGACATCAGTCTTATGAGTAAAAATAACTTCTCTTTCTTCCTTGTGTTTGAATTGCTTTACCTTCTCTTTCTCTAAATAGAAGAAGGAAATGACAACGACAAAAAAATCAATGAACAAATATGATAGGGAAAAGTTTAAAAGGACAAAAGGGCGACAAAGTAGACGCAAAGAGAGAAAAAGATTAGAAATTGAAAAAGAGGAAAACGCAGACAAACAGAAAAATTTTAAAGTTGAAAGAAAAATTTAAAATGAAGCAAGGTCCAAAGTCTAAAAAGTAAACACAATGGCTGGAAAAATATTGACATTTCACATAGCGACACCAAATGAAAAGCAGTCTAGTCTACTTTACGTTATTAGCTATTCTCGGTGCTATTGAAAATTTGATTACTAGAATTGAAAACAGAAAGTGCTTATAATTTGGTCTTATGTATTCAAATCCTCTCTTCTTTTCATGGTATGGTACTCTATATATGAAGGGTAAATGCTAAATGGGTGAAAAGATTCATATCCATTCCTGATCCACTAGTAATATGTGAAAAATATTTCCAATAAAATCAGTTTTTGCTTTTCATTAATTCTCCTGAGCAGTGGAAAGTGTCTATTTTAGAACTGATGTGCTAAATTAAAAGGAATCTAATGCCAGTATAAACAGAAAATGGGAAAGGAAAACACAGACAATTGAATAAGGAGGGACATCAGAATGAAAATACAAAGAAAAGTTAACATATTAAAAAACAGTAAAATGAAGACAGACACAATGGATACAATGGAGGGTCAGTGGCTTTTCAATTAAAGGCAAATCATTACAGACCCAATTCTGTAGAGTAGTAAAACATTTTGTACAATGTATTTAAAGGCACAGAGCCTTCATGTCCTCTCTATAAAAGAGATACTATCTTTTCTTGTTGAATGCAAATTTGAAAAATTACATTTCTATTCTTTGAAACAACTAATCCTTATAGCTCTTGAATTTCCACAGTTATCATTAAAAAGCTAAAGGCCTGATGAAAATACTCCCAAGGTAAACATGGATTCGTCTTATATCCGAATGCACTAGTGTACTTACTTGACTTTTATGAGATAAAAGGAACAACATTGCTGGATCTGCCAATTGTTTTGAGAAAAGAGAGAGAGAGAGAGAGAGAGAGAGAGAGAGAGAAACTAATTATCTTAAAATGACAGGCTTCTTGTGTTACTCCCATTCATGTTTTCATCCATGTGGTCCAAGTAAAATCGTAAATGACATCCTGGCGTGTAACATTTGCAAAAATGAACCAACAAACCAACGTAACAAATATTTGTAAATGTAGTTCAAAAAATCATTTATGTAGTAGCGTATCTTCTACCAATGGTGTTAACAGGTGGCCTGAGGTTGTCACTTACTAGAATTAGTGCTGTCATCCTTGGTTCCATCGAGAGCTCCATCGGGGTGCATTTGCAAGTAGTAACCTTGCCTGCAATATAACCTGGTCACTATACCCTTGAGCTGGGGATCTGAAAGGCAAACATAGTTATCATAAGCCTTACAACGTGTCACAATAGAGTTTCTTATTTCTTTTTTCTGATTCTTTTCTTTTCTTTTTCAGAAGAGGGCATTTGATAGGAGTAGCACCTTTGACTCTGTATCTCCCAGATTCCTCTGTATTTATCAAACCTGGCACATACTAATCATAGAAGGTCAGAAGCTGCATTTGTCAGCTGCAGAAAATGGATCATTTTATAAAACGAATGTGTGGATTTAAATGATTAATTAAAACAATTAAGCTACTGAACCTATTAGTTTAATTATTAGTTAAATCCTAAACTAATTAGTTTAATATAATTCAGGACGGCCATACAAGAGTTTGGCAAACTTCTGGCTCTAAGAAACCTTATTAAAGGCTTTTTAATGGATTTTTCTTTTTACTTAATTTGACAAGTAATCCCAAAAGGTGAAAAAACTATTTTTTTTAAATCAAACTAACATTTTGATATGCATTCTTAGAAAAAAACCCTTTATGGAGAATGTTTCTTTGATGTATAAAGGGGTCACCCTAACTGGCATGGAAGCATCTGGTACTTATGCATGACCCATAGAAAAATGGGAAAGTTGATTTCTGAGCTCAGGGTAAGGCACAATAAACCTATGCTGTGAGGTCAGCTCTGTGGCCACAGTCCAGACAAATTAGACATATTAAACTAATTTATAGCTAAAAAGGAAAATGAAATTATTTAACATGGTTTTGATTCTTAACCAAATGGGCCAAGGATAGAGGACAGTGGAAGCTTATTAAAACAAAAGGGAAAATTATATGGTAACAGACTTCTCATTTGATGATTCATTGAAAAGATAACCACTCAGGTGACCCAGGCTTTACAAAGGGCCAGTTGTACCTTTGAAAATAAATATTTACATGTGGCTTTTCAAAGGCCATCCCCATCTCATGACTAGATTTGATGTTGGACATCATAGCCCTCGCCAGGGAAACTGGCACCTCTCCACAGCTGCCGAATGGGACATACAAATGCGATCAGATCATGCTATCAAAACAGTAGAATGCTACAGAACGATGAAGCCTACCATCTTGTAATTGACAGAAAATGTGTGGGTTTGCCAACTGGTGAACACAAAAAAATACACATGCCAAAAAAAGGCTGTTCCAAACCAGAATACCCTTAGCCTTTTGTTTAATGCTCAAGAAATTAAAGAGAATGTCAATATCTATTGTTATGTACATATGATATAACTAATAATTTGAAAAATGACTTTATGGTACACAGATTTTCTTCAAAGATTCTATGAGAATGGAGAAAATCTGGGGAATAATGCATGAACACCACAGCATCACATCAGTGTGACTAAATATAATAGAATGTAGATGCTTCTAAAAGGCTAGGATTAAAAAAAATCTAAGTGATTATTGGGATTGTGTGACATATGTTCCTTATTCTGTAGTATATACCTTTAAAAGTCACACAATTCTAAGATGTGCATTCGTGGAAAAATTACTCTCACACCTTAGTCTGCCCATCACTCAGTAAAATTTGACTGGGCTACTGACTGTCTAAGTATCAAGGGCTTCTTTTCTTATGTATGCTGCAGTTTATTTATGCTCTTCACTGAAAATAAGTGGCATGGAAAAGAAGAGAACAAAGGTAAAAAGGTGGGTTCTTAATTGTCGTGAGGACATACAGAGGATTTCAGAGATTGACAATTCTTCTGTAAAATCTTTATGTTCTGAATGACTTACTTTTAAATTCTACATTTTAGCTTACTACATCTTCGGGACTTGAATTAAGTGGGTCAGGCAAGGCAGTACAAGACGTACAACCCCCACAAGCTCCCTTACACTTAAACAAAAAGAACACTTTTTTGGTTTTGCTTTTTCTATGATCAAAAAAACAAGGGATAACAAGTATTGATAAGAATTTGGAGAAAGGGGAATCCTTGTACACTGTTGGTGGGAATGCAAATTGGTGCAGCCACTGTGGAAAATAGTATGGGGTTTCCTCAAAAAATTAAAAATTGAACTACCAAATCCAGTTGATCCAAGAATCCCACTTCTGGGTACACAGCCAAAGGAAGTGAAATCAGGGTCTTGAAGAGATATCTGCACTCCCATATTCACTATAGCATTATTCACATTAGCCAGGATATGGAAACAACCTAAGGGTCCATCAGTGAGTGAATGGATAAAGAAAATGAGGAATCTATATACAACGGAATATTATTCAGCTTTAAAAAGAGGGAAATTGTGTCATTTGTGACAGCATGGATGAAACTGGAGGACATAAGGCTAAGTGAGCTCTTCCTGACTACACCAGATTTCTGATAAGGAAATATAAGCAAAATACAAAACTGTGTTTTTCAGTTCTCACTAAATTTCAAAGAAACATTGGTAACTATGTATCTAGTTTCCCATTATTTGATGTTGTCTCTTTAGAAACCATAATAGCATTGTGCTCTTCTCAGGTGCCAGGCACTATTCTTAGTACATCGCAGGATTAACTCATTGAACTCATCACGACTTACTTAACGGAAAGCCCACTTTGAAGATTAGAAAGTGGAGACAGAGTGATGGAGTCATTGACAAGGAAAACAAAACTGACAAGTGCCCAGCGGGGATTAGAACACGATCCTGCCCCCATAACCCCTAAACTACGGGGCCTCTGGAAGTTGAACAATTGACCTGAAACTTTAAAAAACCTAAAATAAAATGCAAACCAATTTTGTTTATTTTTTCTTTTCAACTAGGTTTTTAAAGATTAACCACAGTGTATCTAAACCCAAATCCTGCATACTTGGAGCTGAATCTGTGATTTAAAACAATAACATGAGATTAGAATCAGTGCTTGGAAATCTCTTCTATGATCTGCCCGCTTTGCCGTTGGCCACATTTCCAATAAATCTCCACCCGTGCAATCCTCACCAAGGTTGCAGATCTAATATTGTAGGCTTAAACTGGTCTCGTGTCATCCTCCCTCCTCCACCAACTCCAGCCAGAAGGTACTTATACCCCTGACTTGGTGACTCATGTGAACTGTCTCAGAGGCTCAGATCAACACCGCGTTTGCCTTTGTCATTCCACCTAACCGGTTGCAGGTTCCTGCAGATGCTGCCTTCACAATCTCCCTTATTTTCCCTCCGTACTATTTTCACTGCCAGCAGCACTTCAGCCCCTCTTGGCCTCTCCTAGGTGGTCATCCCACCTGCAGTGTGCCCATTCCAAACCAGCAGATGCAGAAACATGCAGTGGACTATTAACACGCCCTGCCACAGCGGGGGGCCCCATTTTACCTGCCGCGCCTGGTTTGCTACTGCTCCAAGCCAACCCCTGCGCGTAGCCCAGCCTGGGTCACTGGGGGCTGCCTGAAAATATCCCATAATCTCTCACATTTATCATGTCCCCTTAACCTTCCCTGTCTCAAACATGCTCACCTGCATAAAGATGCCTCCTTGCCCATCTGTGCGCACACACCCACATGCATACATCTTTGCATACTTAACTCCACCTCCTCCTTCTTAAGTTCAGCTCCATCAACTCTTCCTCTGGGGCACTTTCCTGACACCTCAGATGAGTTCAGATTCCTCCTCTGAACACTTTTATGGCAGCATTCTTCATAGGCATTGCTCATTTTTAAAACATCAAAATTCTTTCATTTTGAAATGTTTTTAATACATTAAAAGTTACAGGAAATAATATAACCTACATCTATGTACCCACCATGGAGGTTAACAAGTATTAGTATTTTGCCTTATAATTCATAATTTGAATTTCACATTTGTGCAATTATGTGATTGATATCTGTCTCCAAACTGTACTGTAAGTTCCATGAAGAAAATCGAAATGTATGATACTGCTCACCATTACATCTCCAGGGTCTAGGTAAATAGAAGTTGGGCAATATATGTTTCTTGAATGAATGCTGACTGGGTTAGAGGGCAATTTATCTAGTACTTTCATATATTGCTAATAAGAGTGAAACTCGGAACAACAACGTGAAATCCAGGATGGCAATAAAGCCTAAAAAATATCCAAAACTTTTGACCAGCTAATTGTATTTTCTAGACTTCTAACTTAAAAATAAATCCTCGGGTTTATAAACTTTTGTGCAATGACGTATGTGTATATAACATGAGCATGACTATGTAAAAAATATTATACATGCAGGAAAATATGGGAAAGAATACACCAAAATATGAAATGTAAATATATTTTGCTGGTTACTAGAATATATATTTTTCGACAGTTTATTATTTAAAAACTTTCCTATAATTTTATAATGAAAATGCAGATTTAATATTAATGCCTTTTGACAAAGGATGTGTAAAGATAACATTTCATACATACTTGCAATTAATATTGCATATATATATGCAAATAACCTAAATACATATTACTGTTGTAGATTAACTGGTTGCACCAAATTTTCAAGGATTCCACGTATTAGTTTCTCTTTGTGCTTAGTCACATATCCACAAAACCTTCACCATGATCCTCACTTATAAAATTGGCCATTGTGCAATGTGGCCATTTATAGCTTGAGGTCACTCTGGAAAACAAAACCTTTCCTCAAAGCCCAAAAGTACAAAGCCAAATAATCATAACAAACACAAAACAAAAGAAAATGAAACAATTTTCCTGAGAAAACAACCACATCAGTTATATGTGGTCAGGCAATGGTATGACTAAGTTTCTAGATCTACTGTGTGGAGGAGAACAAACCCTCCATGTTCTCACTCTGCAGCAAGTCTCAACTTCAGCCTAATATGTGCTGGACAGCTCACTTACATGTATTATTTCATGACGCTGTGAGAGAAACACTGACAAAAGGGCCCAAAAATATCTCACATGACTGCCAGAATGGACAGGACCCAGTCTGGGCAGCTGCAATAGAAGCACAAGTCTCTCAAAAAAGAGCATCCAAAGTGGGCTGTCTCTCCCCAAAAAGGAGGGGGAAGGTAATGGATTGCAGCACATGAAGACCCAGTATTAGAACTTCCTGTTTGATCA